CACACACACACACACAAACACACACACACACACACACGGTGCAAATTCAATTCCACTTCGGTCTCATCTGGAAACGTCGCGCAGTCAGCTGGCGTTAACATCAACAGGTTGCAGGAGAACAACAAGTGGGAAATATGTGACGCGCGCTCATGTTCTCAGCATTAACATAAGTGATTATGAGCCATCTCATTCATTAATTCATTCATTCATTCATTCATTCATTCATTCATTCATTCATTCATTCATTCATTCATTCATTCATTCATTCATTCATTCAGAGTGTACTTACTGGTTTGCTGTGAAGGTTCCGTCTTCACATTAAGTGTCCCGTTTCCATCCAGAATAATCACCAAGCGTTCAAATAACGACTCGAAATGCTCCGCGAGCGCAAACTCATCGGAGCTTTTAAATTCAAACAGAACAAAGTTGGAGAGCTTCTTACTTTCTTCCAGAGCGGTGGGCAAACAACTGGGTTACAGTAAAAAAACATAAAGATATAAATAAAAAGTTGAAACTCCCGAGTTCGTTCCCCCCCTCGGCGAGCTGTGAGCGCCTGATGGCTGCTTTGCAGAGTTGTAACGCGGGTTTGTTTATACGCGCCGTCTGAAGGGGAGAAAGTCAAATAGTGCATTTTATCTGCGCTCAGCCTCCACATAGGTATGCGCGACGTCAATGTGACGCCATGGGAGAGGTGACGTCACTCGGAGTAGAGCTCCCTCTCTGGAGCGCTCTGTATAGTGAGACGCTCAGAGGGCGGAGAGACGATCACACAGAGGACAGGGAGGGGGGGAGGATGTTGGTTTGATGGATGCAGGGCAGGAAGCTGAGGGGGATCCACTAGGCGAGCTGGTAACTTCTACTCCAAGCCCCTCTTTGACTATTATTAGTAAAACTTAAAAATATGAGATTTTGAGAGTTTAAAACATTTTAAACTCACATTGAATTTTCAGCATATGAGGGGTGGGAGAAGTTTTTAGGTCATGGATATGAAACAAGCGGGCCCCTATAGGAAAAACATGTAAAAAAAAAAAGGGCCCCCCACCCACAGTGGAACCAAAACAAGGCAGCCAGACACACAGCAACACAACCACAATCCAGTCAGCAATAATGCTGATTGTTGTGCATTTCCAAATCTTATAGGTAAAAAAAATCATGTGGCAACTTGATGGGATTTGCATTTTGAGACAAATTTGATGTAATTTGGCAAGAATTATTGTCACATTTGTGTTAATTTTAAAACATGCCATGGTGTTTTTCTCATTTTTCCATTTAATTTGCGCAGTTGTGCAATATACGATTAACTTTTGTGTAGCTAAACATTTACTTGACATTCATATGTTTGAGGTTTATTCCATAAGTTAAGCTTTTTTTCATTCCTGCATTGTGATTTTATTCTTTTATGCTTTTGTTTATGTGAGTTTTTATTATTTATCAAGTTTTGAATGCACAAAAATGATCAATGAAAACTCAATCTTATTAAATAGTTTTTGATTGTTATTTTTTTTTGCATCATTTTATTAAAATCTGCTTTTTAGTCTCATATTGGACACTATCAGTTGTCCACGTGACCTGCAAAGCTGAACATTTTTCTCATTCCTTGTTCAATTTTAGAACACAAGTTAATTACAATCCTCCCAACAATATCAGCCTGATCCTATTATCAGATCTTAAAAGGATTTGTAGATGTGGAATGATTCAACAAGAATCTCACCACTGATCGGCCTAATAAAAAAAGGCTGATCTTCCAGAATCAGACCACAGACTCACTGCTCCAAAACATGTGCTGAATGGACATTCCTGAAATTAGGGGATATTTTAGCTGGGGGAAAATGAGATTATCTCAGTCTGTTTGTAGGAATGGTGACGTTTAATGTGGATAATGACATAATCTGCCTTGTGTTATGAGCCAAATAAATACTTTTTTCATTGTTCAAAGGACTTTCCTGTCTATAAATAGCCTTGTGTAAAGGCTCTTAACTCTGACAACAGCTCCAAAACATAAATAAAGTGTGCTGAGTCTCTTTGCCTCAGTGAAAACTGCCTCAGTTCTTCTTATTTATTGACTATTACCAGAAAAACTCTGTTATAATCAGTTAGATAAATCAATATCTAGGTGAAATATGCAGCAAGATACATACATACATACATACATACATACATACATACATACATACATACATACATACATACATAC